TTGGATGAATATTCTTCTGAAGATTGCTTCTTCATCAACCTTCTTCCTCCTCAGTCATTCTCCCCTGTTCTCAAACTTAACAATACACCGAGCTGCCACAGTACAAAAAGAGGTGTTCTGCTTTTAAAAGATGCCTGACTGTAAATGTCAGAGTCATAAATATTTAAACATTATTTTCTTTCAATTTCAAGTCCAGACTGACAAGATGGCTCTAATTAGGAACTCTCATCTGAGCCCAGTCCAAGTCCAAGATTTCAGAAAAGAACCTGTGGTACAGATGCAGCTCTGCCTTTGGGGAGCCAGTACCCAGGAGGGAGGTGTCAAGGGGAGGCCATGACGCCCACCGAAAGTATGTCTGGGTCAGAACTGAGGGGCCAGATTACTTTTTAACCTGATGTTAGACTAATTTTATTTTCCCTTAAAGCTCATGCTTAGCACACGTTGTCAGGGTTGTTTTTTTTAACTACACAGAGGAAGGGCGAAAAATCGTAGTTATTTAAACTTAATCACTCTGGAAAAGAGTTCACTTTCTTGTTCTTTTAATTAAGAATTGCTGTGAAGTTTTGGTTATCCCTTCCACCACCCACCTCCCTGATTCTGAAAATGCAAATTGAAACTCTTCTGCAGGACTGTTAGGGACTGGGTAAAATTTTTACTTCCCTTCTTCACCACCTACTGAAACTGCTCATGTCCCCACTCAATCCCCGTCGCCTGCGCGCGCCCCCCTACCCCCCGGTCCCCCCAGCAGCTTTGGATTGGACTTTGAAACCTGCCCCTGGGGTGTGCTGGGGAAGACCTCAAACTCTGCAAGTTCAGTGCCAGGTGTCCATTGCCAGTCGCAGCCACTCCCTCCACCCCACCCCACCCCCACCCCTGGATCCAGTAGCGTTTCCCAGGTGGATATCTAAGATGCCGAGACCTTGGTCACCTCACCAGCCAGGGTGCCTCCTTCCCCGCACAGTCAGAGAGTCCCGCCTGGCCTTCTCTTGTCCTGCGTCCAGGACCCGCGGGATCACATTGTCCAATATCAAAGAACAGTCTGCTCAGGCCCCGCGGTCACCGGATTGCCAGAGGGCCCCAGGTCCTCCTCCCATCGCCCTCTGGAGGACAGGCCCAGGGAGGTGAGCCTAGGGACCTCATGCCACCCGGGGGATCCTAGGCCCGACTAGAAGGTGCTTAGTTGGGCCCAGGCAGCTGGGACATCCCAAGGGAGGAGAAAATGGAGCGCCAAGGAGCCTTGGTCACTCCCTCCTTCCTTTTCCCTGCTCAGCTCCAGCAGCGACTGGGACACAGCGGGGATGGGGTAGCTAGAAGGAGGACTGGAAGCACCCAAGGAGGAGAATTTAGAAGTTTCTCGGCCATCATGATCCTTGACATTTTTATTTGACCTTTGAATGAATTCCCAGCGCCTGGTGAGGGAGCCGGGGCACTGCGGCCTCACCGCGATGCAAGTCTCCCGCCGCCAACGAGGAGGTGGCCGAGTCGGGCTCTTCTTTTGCGCGCGGTGGCCGGCTTGAGCAACCGAGGCGGGATGCCGCTCCTTTAGCGAGAAGCGTCGAAAAGATCCGCGGGTGATCCACCCAACACTGCTGCTCCTTCCTCTGCGTGAGAACTCCAAGCCCGGCCTCGGCGCGCCAAGCCCCTGGGCAGAGCCGACTTTGGCCGGCTTGTGGGAGGGAGGCCAGGCAACTGCCTGGCTTAAAATGACAAGGACAGGCCAGCTGCTCCCGGAGAAGTGCGCCTCGCTGTTCGCCCTCGGTTGCCATTCACCGGACCCCACACGGACACTGCAAGCGTGTCTGTTTGGCGCTTTTTAGACGGGGACTTCGTAACCCGCCCGGATTCCCCACCCCCTGCCCAGCATACCCAAAGGTTAGTTTGGGGCTATTTGGAAGTGGACACGCGGGTGCGGTACGTTCAGAAGTGTGCGTGTGACACGTCGTTGGCCCGCGTGTGCGCCACATAGAAGGGGTGCGGTACGAGTTCACTCCTGGAGCCAGTGTGGCTGCAGCGCGTCCGCGGGCGCTTCAGGTCTCCACGCAGGGTCCGTCAGCCCCGGTTCGGGAGCGCAGCTAGGTGCCTGGGGGCCCAAACCCCCTTACGTCCCCAGAAAGCACAGTCGGATTTCGGGCAGGGCGAGGGTGACATGGCTCTATTGCTGTGTCCCCGCGTGTGAGCGTATGCGACTGGAGCGCTTTCGGGATCGCCGCGCCCCGCGCCGGGACGGGTGGCGCGCGCTTTGCCCGCGGGGCGGAACAGCGGTGCGCCTCGGTGCCCGCCGGCTCGCGCCGTTTCCTTTGTTGTGGTCGCCGGGTCGGTCCGCCGTGGAGGCGGCGCGGGTCGGGCGGGGAGTTCCGACAGGTGCGGAGCCGGCCGTGCGCGAGAGGCTCGCACCCTGCGCGGTCCCGGCGGCGACGCGGGCACCGAGGGAAGGGGCGCCCGGCCACGACGGGACGGCGTCGCCAAACCCTGGGCGTTTGGACTCGGCATGTTACAAGCCCAGCCTCCGGTTCCGATGTCGATTTTGACTGCTCAGCCCGAGAGAGGGCGGACGGCGACCCCCACAAAGCGCGTGAAATGCTCATCCGCCCCCCTCCACCGCGGCCCAGGGGCGAGCCGCAGCCGCCAGCCCCCGGCCGCCGACCCGCCCCACGC